TGGAATTGGTGATTTAATCAAGCAGTTCTCTCACGATCTAATCAAAGGCCCACCTCCTAATACCATAAACTTATGGAAGTTAGGATTTCAACATATGAACTTGGTGAGGACACTCAGACCACGGCATATGGTAATCCATGTTTAACTTTTTGAAGAACTGCCAAATTATTTTTCAAAGCAAATGACCACTTTGCATCTACATCAGCAATGTATAAGAGTTGCAATTTCTTTGAATCCTAGCCAACACGTTGTCATTTTTTAAAAAATTATAGCTATTCTAGTGGCTGTGGGTATGAAATATTACCTTATTGTGGCTTTGATTTGCATTTCCGTGGTGACTAATGATGATGAGCATCTTTTTATGTACTTATTGGTCATTTGTATATCTTATTTGAAGAACTGCTTATAACTTTTGCCCATTTTTAGTTATTTATCTTGAAGTATTGTAAAGTTGTCACAGGTCTTTATATGTTCTAGTTAGAAGTTCCTTAAAAGATATAAGATTTTCAAACATTTTTCCCAGTCTATTTTTTTTAACATTTTTGCTGCTGTTCCTTGAAATATCTGCCTAAAATTTGTATAAAACCCAACTCAGCAAACTTTCCCGTATTCACTTATGCTTTGATGTCTTATCTAAGAAGTCACTATGTAATCCAAAGTCACAAAGCTTTAGTTCTACCTTTTCTTCTGAGAATCATACAGTTTTAATCTTACATTTTAAGTCTATGATTTGTTTTTAGTTAATGTTTGCATCTGGTGTGAAGTAGTAGTCTAATTTCATTCTTTCATATGTGGATATCCTTTCTGATGTTTTAAATGTCAACTTTAGATAGATGTTCACTAAGAGCTTGTGGCATGTTACATAAGTCTATCTCAGTTCCCAACATGGTGCTAAAAAAATTAGCTACCATGTTATTATGAGTGTGTGAATATATATTTTTTGTCAAGTTTCAGAACATTTCACAAGATGTCCTAGTGTTCAAACTCAACCCAGAGGCAGAAAATAAGGTACCACCCCCCATAATCATGTATAAAAAAACTTTCTGTAATTAAAGCAGAAAATGCAACCAGTGTATTTCTTTACCCTTAGCGATTTCATTATCTCAAGAGCCCTTCTTTTGCCTATGTGAAAAACAGACCTACACTTAAAAATTCCCCCTTGTTTCTCAGTCTGCCAGTCCTTTTCTTACTTTTTACAAGGACCACCCACTTCTCTCTCTCCAAAAAAAAAAAAAAAATGGCTTTGCAACCTCCTTCCCATTCTTGGTTTACACCCCACGCTCCATGATTTCTGCCTCCGTGGTAGCTTTATCAGTATGTTCCATTTTTGGCAACCCAAAAGACAAAGAGAGAATTCTGCTCACTGGGCATTTGACAGCAATAATTCATTACATTCCATCTTGCTAGCCTCATATCAAATGTTTAAACCCACCCCTTACACATTCATACTCATACAAAACCTCTCTTATTTTCTCCATCCCAACTTCTTTCCTTATTTCAATCCCAGTGATTATATTTTGTATTAACCTTTTAGAAATGCCCTTTTAAAGCTCAGCATAAGTAGGCTCAGAGAAAAAGCTGAAGTCAACCTGAGGATTACTGAGCCGCAGGGCTGGATTTGATGGCAGATCTGTGAGGTATCATTTGGTCTAAATCTAAGTCCAGTGCTTGGTACCTTATTTGGGTATTGCTGCTTTCAATGCTTGAGCTGTTCTTCCAAACACTGGAGTTCTCGGCTACTTTTCAGTATGATGTAAGTACCACAAGTATTGCATGTCTCAAATATTCTTGTGGGGGATTTCAGATAAGATTCTCCTACATTTAAATACACTGGGAAGTTGTAGGTAGAAGTAAACATTTAAGAAATGCACTTGAAGATCTCACTTGATAAACTAGAAAAGAATTCCCAGTTTCTCTTTAATCTTCAAGGCAAGCAACAGCTTGAAATATTCAAAAAGAAGGCCTGAAGGGACCAGCTGTACTCATCCTAATTATTCCTCCAATGGTACTGAACAGAGGGTCCCTGCCTTCCTGTGCACGGCATCGCACACCCAACAGCTGATTTTTCTAAAGCTAGTCAGGTAACTTACAAAGCTATAATTAAGGTATTTCAAATGTTAAGAAATGGACTAGTTATTTAGAATATTAACCCCTCATCACTAAGTGTAGGAACATTCACGGAGATGGATTAAGGACAAAATAATAGACTAGTATTATTATACTGTGGTGGAGGGTTGTTCAGAAAGAAACTCTCACTGGAGAACAAGAAAATAAATAGAAAGTGGACACAGAGTCTTAAAGTGGCTTCCGAGCCACAACCGCTTCAATAATTCATCAAAGGAAAGGAATATTCAGAAAGGACATAGGTATTTTTGTTTCTGTAAAAAGCGATTTGAGAAGCTGTAGTTACCTGGATCTTACGGCGACAAGTGCACAGGTCACTAAGGTACAATTCTGAGCCTTATTCCCAGCTCCATTTTCAATCTCTACTGAACACTCCTACGTAGCCTCCAAGCCCCATAGTCCCCACTCCATTTTATTGTTTTGTGCCATTTATAATGTATGCTATTTCATCTTTACACATTGCCATCAATCTCTAAGGAGTAAGGTGGAGAAAATACACAGGTAAAATTTTAAAGTGGGGATCTCCCAAGTATGAGTTCCCCATGGGGCAAGACCTACTGATTCTTTGACGTTTGTGTTGACAGGCTACCAGCATATGTTCCGTTTGCTTTGTGTTGAGCTATTTGTAAATTCGTGGACAATCCAAAGAATCCGAAGTCCCTGCTCAAGTTTTATTTAGAGATACTGAAAACTACAAAAGGGACCGCTGAAAATCCTACCCAAGAATCCAGGAGGCTCTCTCCCTCGTGCCTGTGGTGGTGAATGTAATCACAGGCACACAGAAATTGACCTGCTCAATGCTATTCTGGGTAGTGACAGAAGAGCCCTAGGTGCAAAGTTTTCGAGATAGTAGAAAAAAAAGAATAGAAGAAGAAAAATCTCCCATGATCTCAACACCTACGTAGCTTCTTACGTTTTGGTGTATTTCCTTCCAGTCTTTTTTCTCTGTGTATTTCAAAATAGACAAGCTCCTGGTTTTACAGCTGCACGTTCAATTTTCTACAGTTTTTCTAAATTCTAACCAGCAGTTCTGTTTTATTAAAAATGTCTTTCTGTATATTTTCAACACCATGATTTACATAAACACTCCTTCCTACCTGGACATTCATATTGCTTCCAAGTGAACTACTTGGAACATCCATGAGTAGAAATCATTGGCGAGTGGTGAGATGAGGGACAAGGCATCAATTTCTCCATGATGACTAACTAAAATCACTATAGTGGTTTTCCCTATTTTTTTTTTTTTTTTTGGTGCCAAACCCTCGGCATCTGACTAAATTTCGCTGCTTTCACTCCTTTATGGGCCCCACCCTTCTCGAAGCTCTACCCGTTTGTTTCCAGTTGTGTTGATGAACAAAGGGGTTTTTGCCTGGTGGGTCCCCTTTAAAGTATCTGAGAGTTGGAGACCACATTTGAAACTGAGGTCTTTTATATTGTTTCTTAGAGTGTTCCTGACCTAATTTTCTCTGAGCTCTGCGTTTGCTAATGAGGCTTTCCCGGGCTTGCTGTTTCTGAAGAGTCTCTTCAAAAAGCGTAACAGTTAATGGGGAAGTGGCAGCAAATCGGAAAGCAGGAGGATCGTTCTCCATCACTAGGCAGCCTGCAACAGGTAAAGTCCTCCAGCTCTTCCTGCATCTGCAGGCACAGTTCCAGTGCTACTGAAATTCCTTCCAGGTGTGGCTGAGGGTCAGGTAGAGCTCCTCAGCCACCTCAAAGCCTTCATCAAGACTGTCAGTTCTAATTTGTGGATAAGAAGGCACCAATGCCTGCAAAGGCCCAAAGAGTCTGGGAGAGGGGTGAAACCCGAGACCCTGAGGGCTCTTCCCCTTCGGCACCAGGACGTGAGACCCGCATGTGGCCAGAGCGCAGGACCGGGTTCAGAACGCAGGCGGACTCCGGGAGTCAGGCAGGAGCTGCCGGCTGCGCCGGACGTTGCTTGCCAAGCAGTTTTCGTGGTTCGCCTCCCCGTGGGTTTTCCCATTCTTTTGTGGGACGTTTACGGAGCCGGCTGGGCATCGACTTTTTAATTTCTACATCCCCAACTCCTCTCCCCAGCTCCCGGGTGCGGCTCCCCGCCGCCCCCAAGACTTCTGGACCCGCCGGGAGGTCTCGCCGCCCCCCGAAAGCGACCCGGCCCGAGCGCTCCGGCGCTCGCCGCCCGCCGCCCACCGCCCACCGCCCACCGCGCCCGAGGCCTCCGCGCTCCCCCTCCTCAGATCCCGCCGCTGAGAGCCCGGATGTTGGATCCGATCCCAGAGCTGGGCCCTTCATTTCCATAAAAGGGCAGCGCTCCGCAGGGCTGAGATTGCCGCCGGCG